GGCGCTGCCTACACCTGCGTCTTGCTTAGAGCCGTCCATATAAGAGACAGGATGAGCGCTTGTGATATTTGGAGAGGGAGTTTTTGGAATGCTGATGATGACTCCTTTTCCTTTGTCACCTGGATGTTGTTTGCTGTGATGTTTTAGGTGTTCATAGGAGATGGGGCTGAAGATGTGTGCATTAAAGGTGGCATCTTGTCTGAGTTGTAGTATCCGAGTTCGTTAGACAGGTGACAGGTGACGGAAGACGGGGACGCCTGGTGTTTAGCAGGGGTAAGCAGGCATATGTCCCGCGCCTTCCACTATCCAGATGCAAAAACTCCCTGGAGCCGCACAAGGCCGCACGGGGAGCTTATTGATATTCCATTCAGATTAAACATGGCCATACAAGGGCGACATTGTGCTACACTGAAATTTGATGTACATTTGCTGGTGGGGCAGTCTAGTTTTTACATTAAACAGAGCATAAACACACATGAAATGTACACACATTAAAAAAAATACATGAACACTAAAAACACCTATAACATTTAAACACCTAAGACGCTTCAGACACTTAAAGACACCCAAACACTTAAAGACACTTCAGAAGGTACACAAAAACACTTAAACGTTTAATACAATACACAATACAATATGCAATAGAGATAATACAATGTACAGTGACACAACATGCAATAATAAACGCATATAATGCAATACTCACATGCTCAGAAGATACGTAACATTGTGCACATGTACACAGTACGCATTACGCAGGACACATGAGTGACAATCTGAGATATTAGCATGTTAACGCGCGCAGTGCAGTAGCGATAGTAGTGTACAATCAATGCGGCTGTAGAGGTAATACAATATGTAATAGAGGTAGTACAATATACAATAATACAAAGTGCAATAAACACATATTATGCAGTACTCATATGCACAATTGATATCAGACGCAGTACGCAGATACATGGGATGCAGTACTACGTAGGACACAGGATGCAATGCAATATGCAGCAGAGGTAATATAATGTACAGTAATACAGTAATAATCACATATAGTGCAGAACTCATATGCATATAATTTACATAACGCAGTACACAAATACACAGAACACATTACGCGGGACGCATATGTAATAATCGGAGATATTAGCATATTACGCACACAGTGCAGTAACAATAATAGTTTACAATCAATGCGGCCATAGAGGTAATACGATGTGCAATAGAAGTAATACAATATACAATGATATAAAGTGCAATAATAAGCAAATGTAAAGCAATACTCATAAGCACAAAAGATACAAAAGGTACAAAACGCAGGAAACGATATGCATGACGCATAAGTAATAATTTAAAGACATTAGCATTTTAAGGTACAGCAGCAATAGTAGTGTACGAGCAATGCCGCCATAGAAGCAAATACTTGTACAGGGTATACGTATGATGCGATATGTATTAGACATACACATAAAATACAATATGCTGTGATAAGCACATGTAAAGCAGTAAATAAAGTTAGTAGACAGTAAATAAAACTTGAAGTTAGACAGTAAATAAAACTTTAAAGTGTTAAAGACCTTTTATTATTCCAAAAAGGTTTAATAGAACTCCGTCTTGGAGTTTTACAATAAGGCCGACACTCGGGCTTGAACTTAGGAAACTAATAAGAATTAAAGAATTAAAACTTAAGAATTAAAAGTTAATTTAAGAATTAAAACTTAACTAATTGTAACTAAAAACGATATAGTCGAAACTAACCAAATTCTAACAGAGTTGACCCTTAAAGCTGAACAATGGCGAAGCTATCAAGGGCCTAAAGTACGGCTGACCGTAATAATAGCTTAAGAGAGTGTAGTCTAAAAGGGCGGACGCGTGCTAGCCAGAATTACTGGTTCTCTCTGCGAAGACAGTAGAACTTCGCGGTTAAATACCGCTCTTCCTCATTTTGCATTTAAACGCGATTCTAAAAATACGTTCTAGTCGGAAGTTGTAAGTTGAAATTCAGAAAGGACAAGAAGGGAACTTTAAAATTTAACTGTTAAATAATTATCATAATCATTACAACGTTGAGAATTCGATGACTTACGGATCGGAACGACAACTTCGTTCAACCTATTTAGGACTGTGTAAGGACTATCCCAAGATGACTGTAGTTTAAGACAGAGTCATTTCCGTCGAATCTTATTTCACAACCACACATTGTTTCCTTTATTGAATCGATGTCCTGTATCTCTCGTGCCGTATCTTGTCTTTATCTTCTCTGTATCAATGTATCAATGTTATCAATGTTATCAATGTGTGACACGTTCTCGTGCAAAACTGTTCATCACTTCAAACCATAATTCCTGAACGTATTCCTCAGACGATGAAGGCGCATCCGGCGGCCAATTAAACAAAATAACACAAAGCAGACGAAGGTGACGATCGAAGCGCATCTGAGACGGAGAACAGCCTGTAGTCTCGTAGGCAGCAGGGCGGTAAGCCAGTAAATATAGGCATAACTTCTTGTTCCAGTCCTGTTGGTTTCTGGAACCCACCAATGAGAGGTTATTAAGGATGGTTCGATTAAACCAACGTGCCGGATACCATGCCATCTGATTGAGGATGTAAAAGTGTCGTTTGAGTTTTGTCAATACCGAGTAGTTTGCACAGTTCTTTAGTTACAGCCGATGCAAAACTTCTTCCTTGATCGAAATGTTACTGAAAAAGCACTCCGAGCCTGTAAATCCAGTTCTGTATGATTACCTCTGCTACTGTAACAGCTTCTTGATCAGGAATAGGATACACTTCAGTCCACTTGATGAAAATAACAACGAGGATGTATTTTTGACCATCAGCAGTTCTTGGCAGAGGTCCAAAGATGTCAGGACGATATGTTCTAAAGGCGCTCCTATGTTGTAACGTTGCAGCTTGCCTCAGCTGCATTTCTTAGGCCCTTTACGACTCGGACAGGCATCGCAAGATAGGCACCACTTTTGCACGTCATCCTTTGCATTACTACAGTAAAAGCTCTCTCGAACTCTCTGCAAAGTCTTCTGCTTTCCGAAGTGACCTCCTGCAGGGCTGCTTTGTAGTTGTTTAAGGATGTTCGGGATCCGAGATCTTGGAAGTATCAGATGCCGTCGGAAACCTTTCTATCATCTGATTCAAATTTCCGGTACAAGACGTAGTTTTGAATATTTAATGACTCCCAGAGATCCCAATATTGTTCTGTCATAGGAGTATAGATCAAAATATCCTTGCAGGTAGGTTTGTTGTGTGAAGACTCCATTAAATCAATTGTGGGTTTAATATCGCCGTCTTCCAGCCTGTCTTTTCTGACTTTATTATCACTCCACGGGTCTCGATCAGCCAAAGCTGATGTAATTTGCCGTGTGACTGGTGTTTCTCTTCAACTCTATTATGATATCGGAAGTTTTATGAGCAGAGGTTTTCAGACAAGACGTCGGCGTTTCCAGATGAAGATTCCTTCTGATGATTGATAGCTATATCCTCAGATGCTGAAAGCAGTTTGTTGATTTCGAAGTCCAAGGAAAAATTGTATTTCGTTTGAAAATCTAATCCGAGTACGCAAGGATCAGTAATATCCGCCGCATATGTCGTGTGATGGTAAGTGGCAGTTCCAAATGTGGCGCTTATGTTTAGCTTCTCATTCCCATCAATTGCGGTTTCATCACGAGACACAGTCTGAAGGGTAACACAAGATGGCGTCCAAATGATTTTATCTTAAATTGTTGAGCTAAATCTTTTCGAATGATGGTAACATTGGCTCCTGCGTCGATGGTCATATTGCAAAAAACTCCATCGATATGCTCATTGATGAATAGTCCATTACTATTGCCAATTATTGTAGAAATCTTGAGTGCTTTAAAATTAAGTTTTCCATTATCATTCAAACTCTCCTTCATGAGAGGGCTACTACTTTGCTTCCTGCGTCGTTGCTTGGAAATGGTCTTATTTTCCGTGCCCTGAGGTGTTCTACGGTCAACAATTTGTGCTTTCTAAAAGACATAGACTCTACAAATAATGTTATAAATTTCAAGTGGTTGAGCTCTCTTAAGATTAGAACCTCTGTGAAATTTTCCTTTTAACCGTTTTTTGATTGCATTTCCTACTTTTGCATTATTTCCGGCTTTTAATTCTTGCTTTCACTTCTATGACATTGTTTTAAAGCACATTTAAATGGTTTTTAATCGTTTTTTTTTAAACTTAATTCAGGCAGTAACATTTAGTTTCTTAAGTTCTGTTTTAAAGCACCTCGAAAGAAATCTCTTACTGGGCGTTTAATTGTTTTCAATAAGCGGGTTTATCATTCTAGTAAGGTCTAGCATGCTTTACCATAAAAAACTAAACCAAAACCAACCATCCTGGTAAAGCAAAACGTATTATTATTTGAGGGATGTTTGTGTTACAGGCCTCGCTCGCAAATGTTTCAGTGAAATAAATACATAACTACGTCTTGAACAATTAAGGCCTTTGTCCTTTATCAAACAAATACGTAAATGTTCTCGAGGTCTTAATTTGTGGTTAAACAATATCACAGGAGATTTAATTTTACAGTTCAATTTTTCCATTTTGAATAGCTTATTTTAAATCATGTTCTGTAATTTCTGAGGGTCTGAGACTTTACTTTCGCTTAATGGAACTTCAGTTTAAACATGTTTCATGTGTTGAAGAGAATTCTACATTATAAGATCAAACTGCAAATTTTTTAATGTTTTTTAAACTTTAATTTTGTACCCTCTGACGTGCAACTAAAGTTTTGAGATCAAAGTTTAACTTATTTCATTTTAATTCTTTTCTAATACGTACATATATTCTTCAACAATAGATCACTGTAGTATTTCTGATATCCTTTACAATAGCTGAAAAAAATGCTTCTCAAAATCATGGTAAATTTTAACTTTGACATTCATTTCATTAATAATAAAGATATTCTTCTCTTTGATGAGTTACTTTGACAGTTTTGACAGAAATGATGGAATTTTGGAACGACATATGTAGCGTCAGTTTTGATTTTCATATAAATACTTCAGCAATTGTTCCGAAAAATTTACTGGAAGAAATCACTCTTAGAATTGAAGTAACAGGTCAGAAAAATAGAGTCTTTTGATTTCTAGTTTATGTGCTTGTATTTAAATTGCACTACTATTTTTTGAAAGCATTTGCATTTAAAGCCATTATACAAAATTTAAATAATATTTAAATGTAAAAGCTTAAACAATTTTATTCTTCTATGATTTTTCTGCTTCTAAACTTTCAAATTTTATCTTAAAAGTAATTATTTTATTGTATTAACTATGAAAAAAGGTTCTGATGTGCCATTTAATGGTATAATTTCACGGATTTTGACTTGTTGACTCTGTATATTGGCGATGCTTTTTTTTAATCTTTTAACTGTTAATTTTATTTATTACAAATATTGTAGTATTAAGAATATTAACAATAAATCTTTAGATTTGTTTATTATTTTAAATTCCATTTAAAAGGTATTTTACGTGTTGCTTGTAAAGCAAACATTTCTTTAATGCAAAAGTTTCCAATTTGCATAGAATTTTATATTTTTGCGTTACTGGGATATATATGAATATTTTCTGAGAATTTTTAAAGCATTTTTCTCTTTTTTATTTTTAACAAGTGAATAATTACATAATATTAAATAAACTGTTCCAGTCTTATCGTTTAAAATTCCTTTACTCTGAAACAGGGGTTCCTAGCCTTTTTCACCGAATTTTATTTTAAATGTAATTATTTTAGGTTATTAATTATGAAAAATGGTTCATATGCCATTTAGTGGTATAATTTCATAAATTTTGACTTGTTGAATCTGCATTATCAGTGATGCTTTTTTTTAAATCTTTTAACTGTTAATCTTATTTACCACAAAAATTTCAGTACTAAGAATATTGAGAATAAATCTTCAGATTTGCTTATTACTTTAAATTCCACTTTAAAGATATTTTACGTATACTTGTAAATTAAACATTTCTTTAATCCAAAAACTTCAATTTGCATAGAATTTTATAGCTTTACCTTACTGGGATATATATGAATATTTTCTGAGGATGTTTGAAAGATTTTCTCTTTTCTGTATTCAACAAATAAATAATTAAATAATATTAATTAAACTCCAATCTCACCCTTTAAAGTTCTTTTACTCAAAAACAGGGGTTTTAAATCTCTTTCATCGAATCATTTTTTAAAAGAATGATTTTCCTCATCGACCCTTTTACATTCTTCTCTGTAACATACGGAACGTATCATAATCATAATATAAATAATTGCTTCTAAATAATGTAATAATTAGGCTAAGAGCAAAAGTTTTGGGAATTTTTGGGCTTATTAGATTCATACATTATTACTTTTTGCATAATAATTATTTTTGATTTTACAAATGTAAACAAATTTTTAGAAACAAATTCCAGATTTTAATTTTACAATAGTTTGTGATTTTATTCATTCGGATGGCCGCGCTTGATGTTTTGATGCATTATTTTTAAGCTTTGGCATAAAATTTCGTAAATCATCTTATTAAGAATATTCAACCTCTTCGTTGTTTTTTGTTGTAAATTATTGATTTGGCTAAAACCTACCTCCACTAGCTTAGAAAGTCACTAAGTCAGTCATTAGCTTGAAAAGTTACTAGCTTAGACAGTCACTAGCTTAGAAAGTCGCTAAGTCAGTAACAACGCTTCGGTAACAACTTTTAGTTTGGGATAATTTTCACCAAACGACTTATAAATTCCAAAACTTAACGTAAAAATGTGCTTTGGACAGGGACTTCTGCTTTAACTTCCTCCTTCAATGCAACTAACTCTTCTTGCATCATAATATCAAGATCAAATATAGCGCAGTTCGGCAGTTCTATGAAATATGTTATCCCATTCAAATCTTCTGAGAATAGAAGAGTCTTGGAAGCGAACATTAAAACCTCTTAAATTTTGGAAGCTTTTTTTTTTAAACAACATATCCTGCAAAAAAGTTTTGTATTCTTCGCAAATTTTTTTCTTTCTTGTGTTCCTGCGTTTTGCTTTTTTTATGTTGCAATTTTTGCTTAAAAATTTTTATGTATTTTCCTCTTATATTTATGCTATATTTATGCTATATTATTATTTTATTATATTTATGCTTTCTTCCTTATTACACAATATAGCTTTATTTAATAACTTTTTTATAATTAATGACCTTTTTAAGTTTATCAATTACCTTCGCATATTCAGTAGTGGACCCAGTCGACCCCTTGATCCACATTTAAAATTTTATCAACCCCAGGGAGCTAATAACTACCCCTAGTTTAACGGCTGAAAAAATTACTTAAACTACTTCTACGACTACACTTTACTATATTCTCTCTTTTTCCTATTTCTTATATTTTGCTATTTGCAGATTTGTATGAATTATATAATACTCTCAAGTACCATAAATTATAATACTACAGTCCGTTAAACAAAATGATTGACCGAACTTCAACAAACACACATGAGATTTGGTGATATGAAAGATGAAAAGTAAATGCCAAACAGGTTGATCTGACGAAAAGACATCATCTTTCTTTCTTTTCAATGACCGGTCACATGTTCTAATGCTTTCAAAAACTAAATAATGATAACAATAATATTTTTAAATTTAATTAATTTTGAAATTTTAATATTATTGCATAGGAACTGTTTTTTGGGGGGAGGTAATAAAAAAAGAGAAAAAGTAATTAATATTTGGGCGGCTTTGTTTTGTAGCGTCTCGGGTTCCTTGGAAGCATAAAATGTACCAAACGTCTTAAAGACTAGAAGCGAATTATCACTTTGTCTTGCCAGTGCCACAGAAACACAGAAAAAGGTGTAAAAAAATCGTGCTTACAAAATATAGCCAGCTATTATGGCTCAATTCAAAGATAAAGAATTTGATTTAGCTAAGTAATAGTAAGTTAGCCGAACGGCTGTACAATTAAAGAAACGCACAAGTTGGCTCTGATCCAAAGTTTGGCGCAACAAACTTAATGACGAGAATAACGCAACGTTGCAGAGTACTCCTCTCAGGAGAATCGAAAATAGCAATGTGGGTTTCAGCAGGCAGAACGCACTCTAATTCTGCCCTCTAAAACCCTCCTTTAAATGCTATCTCCTTTTTACCTCATTTGCATGTTATGCGATCTAGAAATTAACATTGTGGCGGGAAAATGGGAAATGAGGAGGATAGGAACGTGAATTAACATTAAATAACTGGTTAATAAACTAAACGAAACTTTACAATTTATATTGCTTTAGATGTCGCCAATACAAACGTAAACAAAAGACTGTTACCAAGTGTTAAAAAAAATCTGATGTGTACAACACATGACTTCCTTGTACGGAATATTAAATTATACGCATTTTTTTCTTGCATTTCATTTAAACTTATTGAATTCAATTAAATCTACTTCGTCGATCGAGCATAAACCACAATAGAATAAATGCACTCTTTAAAATTCACTATATTTGTTTAACATAGCGACACTCTGGCGCTAGGTTCAATTAACAGCGCCATATTTCATTCATATTATAACTCAGAATGCAAAAAATTTATATCATTTGAAGAATTATCTAATCGTTGCCACATATTCTTTTCAAATACTATAATAAATTTAGAATGATGTATAAAAGAAATTAAGCAAACGAAACAAAAAAGAAACAGTTTTTCACAGACGATTCAGTATTTCTCATTCAATTAATTCAGTTCTCATTTCGCGACAAGGCAAAAATACATAAAAACTCAAAGTATCTATAATAAAAATTACGAAGTAAATCTTAAACGCTTATTTCCTCGAAAAAATTTCAGATAGGATCAAGCATGATTTAATTCGCAATAGTAAATGAATTCGTTATCTTTGTTGTTGCGAAGCTAGTCCCCCTAGATTGGCAACAAATCTACTATTCTGCTGTTTCAAATGTAAATAAACATCTTCGCCATGTTATTTAAAAATTAAATTATGCTTAACCTCACTTAAACAGCTTTTAAATTGTTGATAATTCTACAAATATTGCTCGCAGATTTCCTAAAGGCATAAAAACCGTACCGGAAGCCAGACACATAATCATTTTTAAGCACCAATGTACCCTTTACAAACATACTCGCGCCCGAACTGGATCCTGAGCCGGGAGAGTGGCTTTTATGCATTTTTCACTCCGTTTGGTGCAAACGAAGGGAAAACGCGGGATATTCTTCTTTGTTAGTACCGTTCTATATTTTCTTTCAACGTTTTCTTTCTTATTTTCGTTATTCGGTAAGAACAACCTAGAATACTCGCCGTTGTGCTAAACGATTTTTTCTTCCAACCAGAAAGTTGGTGCAACTATGTCCAAATTACAATGGCTCATCATTTTTTGATTCAAATATGAGCATCAATGAAACCATAAGTAACTTTTGAGGCCTGTATTTATGTTATGTTATATCGTCAAATTACCGAAATATGGAAAAGGTATACAATACTAATAATTTAACAAATGCTGTCCCTTGTAGTATACATGTATGTTAAAAAATGAGATAATTTTAGGCAAAATTCCGACTATAAAAAATTTTCAAATTATTCTAATACTTTTATTATTGCTTATCCTTACCTCTTTATAAGATTTATCTCTTCATCCTAATAAAAATCTGATTGGTACACCACATACTGCCTTGTACGGATTATAAATTATCGATTTTTTTGGCATTTATTTACAGCTTAACCTACTTTCGCATAAACCACATAGAATAAATGAATTCTTTAAAACATTTTGCATTTTTTACATATGACACCCTGGCGCTAGGTTTACTTAAGAGTATATATTTCGTTCATATTATAACTCAGAATGCACAAACTGCATATCATTTAAAGAATTATCTAATCGTTGCCCCTATGTTCTATTCAAATACTATAAAAAGCTGGAACTTGATAAAAGAAATTAAGCAAACAAAACAAAAAAGAAACAGTTTTTCACAGACTATTGAGTATTTCTTATTCAATTAATTCAATTCTCCCTTCGCGAGAAGGCAAAAATACATAAAAACTCAAAATATCTATATTAAAAATTACGAAGTAAATCTCAAACGCTCATTTCCTCGAAAAAATTCCAGAAAGAATTAAGCATGATTTAATTGGCAATAATAAATGAATGCGTTATCTTTGTTGTTGCGAAGCTAAGTTTCTCTGGCAACAAATCCACTAGTCTCTTGTTTCAAATGTAAACATCAATGACCGCCATTAAAAGCAAACTTAGCGGCAATTAAACAACTTTAAACTTACTCATAATTCTAAAAATATTACACACAGATTTACTAAAGGCATAAAATCCTTAACCGGAAGATAAAAATAACATAATTCAATCATTTCTAAAGCAAAAAATGTTTAATTTACAAACATATAAGAGTAAAGAAACTGAGATTACTGAGCCGGGTAATATATATACGTTTGGTGCGGCCGATTGCAACCAAAATACGAGGTGCACATCTACATGTTATAGCAGTCCTACATACAAAATTTCAACGTTCTGAGGCTACTCGTTTTTGAGTTATGCAAGATACGTACGTACGCACGTTGGTACATACGTTCGTACAGACGCCACAAAAATTCTCTTCAGAATTAATTTTAAAAAGCAGTTTTTAATTTTTTGAAGGAAAAGAGTATTTTAATTCTGTTCTTACGTACAGATATCACGCAAAAACATCGTTAAATTGCATTCGATAGCGGTCAAAATGGATATTTTCGTTGAAATATGCTGCCTGAAACTTTTCGCGATTACAATACTTCCGTTTCACTTCGTACAAGGAAGTAAAAAGATGCAATTTTTAAAGAGAAAAGTAATTTTATACGAGAAAATAGCAATCTATATGGCCTGTATTTATGTTTTTACAACTGGTAGATACTTTTATTTAAATAAAGCTTGCAAATCTCCATGTACTAAAACACGTGTATGCTGAGTTGTTCATTGTCGCGTGTATGTGAAGGTTAAGAATGAAAATAACTCTGCTACTCCGTAGTATACACACAAAAATACACCTTAGAACAGAGAAGTTCTGTTGAATGTTAAAACTGGGAGCAGATAATAAAAAAGTACCTAAATTTAAATACACTAATTTTCTTTTTGTTCTCCCAACTGTTTTGTTGTTGTTTTTTCGAATCCATATTTCATAAAGGAATAGTTGTTAGAATTTCAAAGATTTTAGACTTCTATATTCCACCTTAGTTTCGAGGAAGAGGACACAGGAAGGCTGAAGGTCTCCCACACTTCTCACCTACTATCAAATTACACGAGAGGACTTTCGGCTCGCCGTGTATTTAGAGTGCCCCCATGCCGTAAAACCACGATATAGACATCTACGGTTTCTTTGGGATTAGAACCCGGCTAGTGATATTTTTAAAAAATTCCCGAAACCTCTTTCTGAAATAATTAATTTTATGGTATATTATTTTTCAAATGTATTTCACATCAGAAAAATTTTCTTTTCTCTGTTACTAACTCGTGAATTCCTTCCATAGTACCACCTAACGATGGAAATGAAGGCTCAGGTTATGATACTACTAGTCGTCTGCATTGCTGCTGTGGCCTCTGAGAGTAAGTATAGTATGATGTATAAACTATTGGATTGGACGTGTCGGCGGTATCTAATATTGGCAGCATTAATCATACAGTAAATAATTTACTTAATTCTAACTAGCTTTTATCTGAAAGGAGAATAAACCCCGCCAGTACGTATGCATGAAGATGACTGACATCTTGAATACCTTGTTGGTATTTAAACAGATATAACAAATGTTTCTGTTTATAATAAAGCAAAATAATTGGTATCAGCAAAAAAGGTATCCACTAAATATTTTTTTTTATTTAATGCAGTTTTTCCCTACGAACCTATCTGATTCATACATAAACATGAGTAATTTATACTTACATCATTTATAATACTTCGCGAGGAATTGGATACTTAGGAGTTTTTTGTTTTTTAAACACTTAGGAGTTATGTTATAAGGTATATCTTCCACCTTCTTAGCATGCTGGATGTAATGACCAGCACATTTGGCGCATATCGAGAAGTCCGTGGTTTGAGTCCCGGTGAGGGCATTGCTCATATTTCATCGCTACTGCTTTAAAAAAAAATACCTAATGTCTCTACAATGCGCAAAACTGTGGAATTAGAAATTAACAATGGAGACGGGGGAATTAGAACAGGGGCATAAATATGAACTCAACAATAAAGAAATGGAACATCTCCAAAGCAGCAGCGAAAAAACGTTGCAGACGAAATGCCTTGAGAGGAAGGAAAAGCACACAAAAAATTATTAGTTATTTAATCCTCGAAATTAGTGCAAAATAAGTGTAGAGAAATTAGGTACTTTTTTTGAGCAGGAGACATGAAAAATGTGCAATGGCCTCGCCATGACTTGAACCTAGACCTCTCGAATACACTCCGAGTGTGCTACCGTTACACCACGAAGGCATGCAGAAAGGAGGGAGAAAATAGCCTTATACTCTTCCCCTTTTAAAGGGCGACTGGGGATTAGGGGACGCAAAATCCTGGTGGTGAAGATTCATCATCCACTGTAGTTGTTTGGGCGCCACTGTAGAATCATTTTTAGAATTTTTCGAGACAAGGAAGAAGAAGAAATCGGCAAAGTCCTCGCCGGAACTCGAACCCTGGACCTCTCGAATACGCGCCGGTGTGCTACCGTTACACCACGAAGGCACGCAGAAAGGAGGGAGAAAATACTTTATATAGGGTAAGTTTCAATGCTTTTATGTAATGACATCCTTTTTATCAAGTAGCAGTGCAATGTCAGTGCCATGCCTGACCTTAGAAATATCTTAAAACGTAGGCAATAAAGAACCACATTGGAAAATATTTTAAGGCTTAAAAGGAGGCTTAACGAGTCTCAAGCTGAGACGAGTGGCGATAAAAAGGAATGAAAAGATAAAAAAAGAGACCATAGGAAAATAATTTTTATGGAAGAGACTCCACCATTCAGTGACCACATTTTTCATGTAATTATGATCTAATTCGTTGCCTTGACTGGGATTCAATTGTGTGGCCGTTCCCAACCAGCTAAGAACAAAATAAGATTTGGAACAAAATATGAATTCAAGACTTCACGATTTTAAGAGGTTTCTAATAGCTTGTATATTTTATATATAAATATGGTTGAAGACAGTAGTTGCAACTGTTTAGTTCTTGTATGCAAATTTTGATTATGTAGTATATCATTTGTACATATGTCGCACAAAGTGCAAAGATGTCATTGCTACGTATTCTTTAATTTGTGCAACAATTTACCTTGGCTGATACAAAATAAGCATCGCTTATCTGGCAGTCCACCTAGTTGTGGTGGCTGCTGGTATGCGATTTCTTTCTTTCGGCGTTTGTAGACTGTGTTCCTTGAGGAAGATTGTGGTCGGACAATGCATGCACTGCAGACCGTCAGGGCGGACATGCTACATTGAGTACGGGAAGAATTTGATTACCATGTAGTTGTGTGTCGTGTGACCAAGGATGCGCATATTGGAAAATTCTGATTAATCCATCAAAATCTTATAATCTGCTTATGCTGTAAAGTTTGCTCATAGAAAGTACTACATTCATTTATTATTAATTTTTAAAACCGCACCATTCATTTATAAACATTTTAAAATTCATTTATAAACCTTGTATATTCAGACCAATTGAGAACTGAAGGTTGGAAGATCTTCCTCTTTAGTAGGAAATTTCTTGCATGTTTGAAACAATTATTGATCATACTTATGATCATTTCATTCCATATATTTCTATCAAACTTCATTTCATTTCGTAAATTTAAATTTCGTAATTTTAGATTTCATTTTCAAGCCATTTAGTATTCCTCTAATATTTTACTTTAAATGATCAAATTATTTCCATATTAAAAGGTTGTAGTTCATATGAATATTTGTTTTCCTTGCTAATGTTGTTATTGTTTTTATTGAAGCTGTTAACCTATTTTCTGTACTCGAAAAACGACTGTAGAGACATTAGGTTAATCGGAAAAGCCGGAGAGATGAAAAATTAGCAAACGCCTTCGGCAGGAATCGAACCACGGACTTCTGTAATACGGGCCCAGCGTGCAGAACACCACGAAAGCACGCTAGGAAGGTGGGAGAAATACCTTATATACTCCCCCTTTTAAAGGGCGACTGCAGTTTTTAGGGGCCGCAATCGCCAAATCCCGGGTGAGGTGAATCATCATCCATCACCCTTTTAGTTCGGAGGCTACTATAGAGACATTAGGTTAATTGGAAAAGCCGGAGAGATGAAACATTAGCAAACGCCTTCGCCGGAATCGAACCACGGACCTCTGGAATACTGGACCAGCGTGCAGAATCACTACACTACGAAGGCACGCTAGGAAGGCGGGAAAAATATCTTATATGACTACTAATAGCTGAGTGGTTAAGACCGCTAAATGCTGGTAGTTTGACCCAAGCTCGAACAGAGGCGAACTTGCATACAAGCTGTGTAACATAAATACAAGTCAGTTTCCTTTAGAAATTATCCAGGAAGGCATCACTCCTCTTAGGCTGACAACCCTCATATTCCTAACCATATTCATATAGCCTAATTTCACTAAACCTGTTCGACAGATAAAGCTTACCAGAGTATGTTAGAGCATTAATATAATAAACAAATAAACTGAACACATTCAGATTTTTCTTTTTAGCCCAAAGGACGTTAGCCCAGAATAGCCATTAACTTCGTTTTGGCATTTTGCGTGGAAAACTTTAAAGGTCCGTTTCAGGTTGTTGCCACCAAATATTATCGCCCTGCGTTATATTTAAAGAAATTAAACAATGAAGAATCTGTATAAATGTATATATGTTTCTCGCACTAGGATAAAACAACGGTACCTAGAGCCATCAAATTTTTACTGACGTAATTCTCCACCGAATATGGGCATCTGGAAGTCGTAATTTCGAATTTGTTTTATTATCTATTTCATATTTTGTAATACTTTAACAAATTTTTGATTAGCAAATTCAAGGACTTCAAAGCGAGTAATGGCAACACTGTACAGACGAAAAAAAAATTATCTGGATCGCGCGAGACCGTGTATCGGAAATTCTAAAGATACGCTCTTTTAAATATGTTTTCTGATATTGCTGTTGAATTGAATCTTATGGTTTAAGTGCGAAGAACCTGATATTTAATAAGTAAAGATAACACCCGAAACGTTAAAAATATATATATAGGATGCATCATAAATGTTGCGACGAACTTCTAGGGAGGTAGGACACATTATAAGGATTAGGAATTGCATAGGAACACATGATCGGAAATGTCAGGGGTAAGTGGTGGCAGAGGTAGAAGATGGGAAAAGAAGCAAGAGCAATTAATTTGAAAAGTATATTGGATATGAATAAAATGGGTGTACGACAGCTTGAATGTTAGAACAGATGCTCGAAGTGCGCACCATCAGATGTCAAATATGTCTGACACAGACGGACCATTTATTGCCGGCCATGTTCAAACACACCGAGAGTTTCCTTGATTGTAACTGTTGCACAGGCGAGTCTTGCCACGAGATCCATTTCAGACACAACAGGATCGTGATACACTACACTTTTGATGGCTTCCCACAAAAAGAAATCAAGGCTCAATAAATCCGGTGAGGGTCAGGGGACTGGTCCACCACGCCCAATCCATCGATGTGGGAATGATCTGTTCGAATAGCTACGAACATCCAGTCCAAAATGAGCAGGGGCCTATCATGTAAGAATCATATGTTGCGTCTCACATTTGGAGGAACATCGTCAAGCAAATCGGGAAGAACTTGCTCCAGAAAGATCAAATAATTCGCCGCATTCAAATAGTCCGTCGGTGTCAGGCATGTTTGGCGTCTGATGATGCAAACTTCGAGCATCTGTTGTAACATTAAGCTGTCGTACACCATTTGTATCAATGTCCAATAAATGTTTCAAATTAATGCCTCTTGCTCCTTTCCCCATCTTCTACCTCTACTACCACTTACCCCTGATATTTCCGGGTATAGGTTCCTATGCAATTCTTAATCCTTTTGAAGTGCCCTACCTCCCCTAGAAGTTCGTCGCGACATTTACGGTACACTCTGCATATACTACGTATATGAAACGTAATATAAAATCTTAAAGCTTTTAGATTTATATATATATATATATTATTTTATTCACTTACGCATTTATTTTTTTATTTTCAGGATACTGTCCTGAAGTCAAGGGTGAATGTTCTCTGTCTTATAGAATGAACGACTGTTGCTCCCAAGACGATTGTCCATCATATGCAATGTGCTGCAAAGGTCGTTGCGGCTATGTGTGCAAAAATCCTTCGGATTCCCCAACAAAAGGAGAAGCTATTAAACCTGGAGATAAATGCAAGATTGGAAATGTATATCCCAAAACTGGATTCGAGTGGCTATTTGGAGAAAAATCTAAATAAGATATTGGATGTAAAATATCACCCTACACAAAACATTTTGCTAATGTAGTTACAGTTTATACAAAAATATCTTTCTGTGGTTGTAATGAAAAATTAAAGGAAATGATATAAAATTTATAATGTTTAGTGTAGCATGTTTACTGTCTTTAAACTACTGCAATGATTTTTATTCGAGGCATAGAACACTCAAACGAGTGAAAGACTTAATCCTTTTTACTTCCTAGTATGAAGTAAAAGAAGTATTGTCATTACGAAAAATTCTGGAGATCATATTTTAACCAAAGTATCTATTTTGGAGGCTACTGAATTCAATTTAACGGTGTTTTTGCCTGACATCTGTACACAAGGACAGAATAAAGGACCCTTTTACCCCAAACGAATTATAAAACTGATTTAAATGGATTAAAAAGCGATTTTTTCCGGGCATCTGTGCATACGTACGTATGTATCTCGCATAACTCAAAAACGAGTAGCCCCAGAACGTTCAAATTTAAAGTATAGGACTACTATAGCATGTAGTTGTACACCTCGTATTTTGGTTGCAATCGGCCGCCCCAAAAGTATATATATATATATATATACAGGGTATCCCGTAAATGTTGCGACAAACTACTGGGGGATGTAAGCCATATCATAAGGATTAAGAATTGCATAGGAACCCATGCCCGGAAGAGTCAGGGTAAGTAGTAGAGGAGGTAGAAGATAGGAAAGGAAACAAGATAGTTGAAACATTTATTGGGCATGGATACAGATGGTGTACGACAGCTTCAGTGTCACAACAGATGCTCGAGAAGTTTGCCGCATCAGACGCCAAATATGCCTGACACCAACCGACCATTGATTGCCGAACATGTTCAAACACACCGGCAATTTCTTTCATTGTAGCAGCTGCGCAGGCGAGTCTTGCCACGGGATCAATTTCAGACACAACAGGATCATGATGCACGACACTTTTGATGGCTTCCCCAAAAAAGAAATCAAGGCTGGATAAATCCGGTGAGCATGGGGGTCCGGTGAATCGCTCCACCTCGTCCATCGATGCGGGAATGATCTGTTCAAATGGCTACGAACATCCAGTTAAAAAAGAGCAGACTCTCCATCATGTTGGAACCACATGTTCACAAGCTCTCCGTTCGTATAGCATTCCATGCTCTTCGTACGGTTCCTATCGCTCGAATTAGGCAATCCTCACTTTCCTCTAGCACTCTACAGTAAAACAGCCATGGAGGTGTACAGTGACGTTTCCGGCAGGGGCTCCTCTCCAACTCCTAATCCTTATGGTGTGCTCTACCTCCCCCAGAAGTTTGTCCCAACATTTACGGGACACCCTATAACATAGTGATTATATACACTCACTCTGTTACTCTGCTCAATAGGCTCAGTTTTTTATTCTTATATGTTGGTAAATTGTGAATTTATTGCTTTAAAAATGGTTGAATTATGTTGTTCTTACCTTCCTGCTCTTCTTCTTCAGTCATAGTTATCGTACATGAAAATCTAGCTTTCGTGATAATTATTTTAATATTCTTAGATAAAAGTCATCATTTACTTCATCTAAGCTTGTGCGCGGTAAAATCTGAAACAGCGGTATAGTTGATCTTCGTCATTCGCGACTGATAGCAATTTTAACTCTGATTTGATATCTGGGATCCATTTTTCATCAATAGTAATCCAGACGGAAATCTTTCATTATCAAATTTTTGTTTCCATAACTTTGCATGAAGCAGTGAGATATCTATCCAGTATAAACATTGCTTTGGTACAAAACTTCTGTCAAAATTTTGTGTCTTTTTTCTGGTGAAATCACTCTAGCTTTTGATGTTTACTCCCATGTCACTTCACGATCACTTTCCTTTTTAGCTGTCAGTAATTTTTCTCGGCACTTAAAGATAACGCCCCATCTAAAAAACATGAAAACCTAACGCCAAATAGCAGGAATTACGAACGTATCCAAGAAAACAGGAATGGAAATCTCTCTATTAAGACGGCAAAAAGCAGCACTTCAGTTGAGTTGATGCAAGTTGCTTAAAAAAAATATAAACTTTTCCAACTTGAAGAGTAAAATTAAGGCGAAATGGGACCCTACAGAAAACCTGAAGAAAAATACCGCCAATCCGAGGATAAGATAGCCTGGATAGCAATTAATATCGACCTTTCACTAATATAATCATCAGAATAAGGAGGACGAATTTTAAAGAGAGATAGTCACCTTTGTATAAGTAATAAGAAAGATTTTCACCGAGGCATGGAGATTATTACAAAAAAAGAAGATTGCCTTCCATATGTAATAACTGAAAAACAGCATTCCCAGAACCACTATGGATGTAACATTCAAGATAAATCTAAAATTTAGGTAGTTACCACTTACCCGAGTTAAACAATTTACAAGAATGAAAGGATTCGAAATTGAAAAGCTGCTAGTTTATTATTTAAAATAACATGGTACAGATGCAGCAAAAGCCATCTCAATGTCAACAAACGCATTTTCAAAGTCAGAAATTTAATGAACATGAAAATGCAAAGTGTAGTTTCGAGCAAAGAAAGGGCCAAGCTAATGCTTCGGCTGCCAAAATGACTGACCACGCGCATCTTTGTTGCAATAAAGAAAACTGGGTCAAATGTAGAAAAAAAAACCACAGACATGATACCTGTCTTTCAAATAATAATAATAATAATAAATAAATAAATAAGTAAAAATACGCCTACTTGTATCTTCTGTAATGATACTCATATGAGCAATTACAGGTGATGCTCGGAGACCATGACCATGACCGGAGACACTAGCAATAAAGGACTTCTATTAGAAACAACTGTCCAGCATAAATAAAGAAAATGTCTTAGCTTTATATGGAAGCAATGAACATATTCTTTCTTCCCATCAGCATCTTACAATGAAGCAGCGAAGAAGCATTAAATCTTAGAGTGATATCGAGATGCAGCTAACAGGCTACAGGACACCACGATCAGTTTAAGATCATCCAATTAATACAGGAAATTAAACGCCCAAGCTTCTGCTAACAAACAGGTTGGTAGTATATAAAGCAGCTGAAATTATTCTATTACCCGAAATGGATTATTAAACGAAATTGTTCTATTACTCGAAATGCTCACCGGCTTGACAAACAGAATTATAGCGTCGTTCATCCTTGCCATGTTCCTGTGGCTCTTTTTCACTTTTTCCCGGGTGGCGCACTTATGCACAAATTCAAACAAACGCTAATGCCTCAGGGACCTTTTTGCCAAAACATGGGTAAATATTTTTTATTATTTAATAAGCCCATCGACCTCCCATGGTTAGAATTCGAAAAATTTGACTGATGAGAAAGGCTTCAAGATTTGAATTTTGTAATTTCAATCCTTTTTTAACCCTCGCGGTACTTGAGAATTTGAATGTTCTAAACTTAGAAAACTAAAGGGCAAATTACGAACTATCCAATTTTGAATGACGTAATACTACTACGAATATGGGCATCTGGAAACCCAAGTTTCAAAGTCGAAATTTATTTTATTAACGATTTCATATTTGTAACACTTCAATGAATTAGAAAGAGAGATAGATAGATAGCTAGACAGATAGATACATATATACGTACTTTTAGTGCGGTCGATTGCAACCAAAAATGGAAGTGCACAACTGTTATAGCAGTTCTATGTACAAAATTTCAACGTTCGGAGGGTACTCGTTTTTGAGTTATGCAAAATACATATATACATTCTTACGTACGTACAGACGTCAAGAAAAATCTCTTATGAATCCATTTTCTCCATTATAATCCGTTTGGGGGGGAAGTCGTTTATTCTGTTCTTACATATAGATGCCACGGAAAAACATTAAATTGCATTCGATAACGGTCAAAATGGATATTTTCATTGAACTATGGTACTCGGATTTTTCGTGATTATAATATTTCTTTTACTTCGTACAAGGAATAAAAAAAAGGGGGAAGACTGTGCAATATTAAAAGTATTTAATTGAAGCAAAATTTCATGTTTTCATTTAAAGAAAAATAAATTTAAAAATGTTGTTATTAAAAATATATCTGCCTTTTTAAGAAGATAATATAAATGAAATTTAATAAAAAAAATACATATATAAAGCTGTTGATTCTGAAGTTCCTTTTCTCTGCGTAATTTTGCTCCCAAAAATTAACCATAGACTTGGGTAACAGCTCAAATTTATACATTTTTTCTCGAAACTTTTTGAATCAACACAAGGGCTAAGATTGTTTCAAGAGTAAATGTACACAAATGCTAATCGTGGGATACTGAATTTGTTTCAGAAAATTAAGAAAAGATGCCTTATTTGTAGAGTTTAAACTAAACATTTAATTTTTTTTTAGATATGAGGTATTACTGGTGATGTAGGTGCATTAAAATTGCAGGAATCATATTTTTTCTTAATAAATGCTTCTATTGACGTCAATAAAAGTAATTTGTTAAACGTTTCAATTTTTGCTTCGTTGTACGAAGTAAAGGTGTAGAGACATTAGGTTAATTGGAAAAGCCAATTTAATTGTAACAATTGCTTTTTTTTAATTGTTTCAACTGTATTTGGTGTTTTATTTTTTCTATATTTTTCAATCAAGATATTTCGAGGTTTTATGCATTTTTAAATTACCGCGAAATGAGAACTGAATTAATTGAATGAGAAATCTTTCTCTAATGAAGTTCGAGAAAATAAATTTAATTAAAATGCAACAAAAAATGCGTATAATTTAATATTCTGTACAAGGAAGTCAACTAGTGTCCGCATCAGATTTTTTAGTTTAGGATTCGAAAGACTCGATTGATGGAGAATACATGAAGATTCGAGTTTTCGAATCTCGAATCCTTTTCAAGATTCATAGGATTTGAGAATGTCCCGCCTTTATCTTTGATTTCTTTTCATAGTAAAATTTTCTACTTTTCGGAGGCTAATGTAAAAAAAAAATTACCTTGAGTAATGTGGCATGTAAGACGGAGGTAGCCAAAAGATACCAGTCGTTGATCTTCACTTTTTTAATAAGAAGTCATTTGACAACTTTGAATAATGAGCTCATTGAAGAATGCTCAATAAACGATTTTCTTCACTCTGTTTTCCAAGTTTATTAGACGTTAAAGAGGCATAAAAATGCACATCCAAATATTCCACACACTGTTACAGTCATAACATTTTCCATTTTTATTTTAGCATAACAGGGCGAAGGAAAGTAATATTGTTTCAATTCCAATAATTACGAAATATAAACAAAAGATACCTTAATAAAAGTTACTAAGGCTTAGTCAATGATGTAATTTTTAATTAGCATAGTTTTAATACAAAAGCTGCAGGAGATTGAGCCATCTTAAAACGAACAACAAAGTTTTCACATAAAATGCCATTTCAATCAAGTAGATTGTCAGTTACTACTTAAGTTGATTTCTGCAAAGATATTTGAATCCAATTTTTGATATGCCATTCTATTTTCCTCCCTTTTTCCCAAATAACCATTCAAATCCCGTTGGAGGATACACGGTACCCAGCTCACATTCTTCTCCGTCCTTTAGTGCGACTCCGTTGGTTGGAGTGTCACTGGGATGCTTGCACACGTTGCCACAAGGCAGTTTACAGCAGATGGACCATTCAGCACAGTCGTTTTGAGAGCAGCAATCGTTTTTCTTGTAATTCACTGGGCATTTGTCATCTCTCAGTCGAGGACAGTACTCTGGAAGAAAAGTGGAAATGTTAGACACCTTTCAGCTAACAAATGCAATTTTATACAGTCTGAATCTGAATAAGTGGGTAGAATAGAAGGCAGGCTATAGGAGCAATATTCGTCATAAATGTATGGTAGGAAAACAAACGGCGAGTCGCTTGTATATAAATGGTGTAAAAAGGGCCCGTCCTCGTGAGACCAAGTTCATAGATTTTATGACATGTTCTACTATTATTATTTCTGCAAGTACTATAAAAGAATTGCCTGGTTCAATTTGTAAAACAATTTCAGTTTAAGTTCTCGCAAAGAACTAAATTATGCAGGAATTTATTATCTTAGTGACAACAGGTAGACAATTTTTTAATTGTTTTAGATAAAAGTCAGGCACATGGAAAGTAATCTTCTGCGTTAAATTACGTTTGGGAGCTAGGATTTTTTTAAAAATATCTTTTTAAAAATTTTAATGGCTTTTAATCCAAAGATGCTTGTCCTTGAAGGACTAATGTTTCCGATTTGCGACTATGCGTCGAATCACTATAAACAGCGTATCACTTTTCAAATTGTTGCCATTAAATGTTAGAGTCCTGCATTATATTTGAAGAAATTAAATGATGAAAAGTTTGCATAAATGTATGTATATTTCTCGCAATGTGCGGTACATAGACAACAACGGTAAACTACGGTACATAAAGCCGTCGAATTTTGAATGACGTAACCCTCCTCCAAATATGGGCATGTGGAAGACCAAATTTGAAGTTTGGAATTTGTTTTATTATCGATTTCATATTTTATAAAACTTTAACGATTTTTGATTAACAAACTCAAGGATTTCAAAGCGAGCAATGGCAACGTTGTACAGAAAAAACCTTTTTATCTCCAACGCGCGGAACTCTGTATCGGAAATTCTAAAGGTATACTCATTTTAAAATTATTTGGCGACATTACTGTTGAACTGAATTTTATGGTTTAAGTGCGAAGAACATGATATTTAATAAATAAACGTAACACACAAAACGCTAAAAAAACGGCCCTTTAGACGTAATTTAAAATCTGAAACTTTTCAGATTTTCTTAAAATTTAATTTTAACGTTTTTTTTTTTTTTTTCGTTTAGTTTACTATGTCTAGTAATTCAATAGTTACGTCTTTCCTTCATGCAAGGCCAGCGATATTACAAACAGCACAATGAATATATAACAGTTGTGTCAAGATTATGATCCGCATCTAGACACTTGGTAAGTCCAAACAGTTCATGGCAGTTAGGCATAGTCCTCCTTTCCTTACTTTACCTAAGTTTCTGTTTATTCTAACATCGATTCTTAAGTCTATCGATTGCTTCTTTATTTAATTTATTTCCTAACAGAATACTCTTTCCCCGAGCAGCAACATCCAGGCTTACATGTAGACTTTATGAGCCTCTTAGCCGTCTATTCGGCTGCGTTCTCGGGGAACGGTTGAGCAGAGAGTAGAAGGTTTTTGCCAGGAAGATAACAAACTGTGAAGCTAAGGCCAGAACAGTGGTCTTTCTTGGTGGCACCCACTCACTCAATATTATTCTTAGGAAACTTTATTGGCATTTTACAGTATTTTTGACAAGAAATTATGCAGTTTTGCAGACCACCGACTTAAAACCTCTCAACGAACACGATGTCTTCCTGCATCCACATGACTACTTGTCACGCCTCTGCTCTCTTTTAGCCTGTCCTGCGAACTGACTCTGAAGCATTGCACACCTGAAGGGCTCATAGAAGCAATATAAAGAAAGACAGCCGGAACAAAGCACGCATAGCACATGCTAATCGCGGCAATAAATTAAGACTTGGATCTTGAACCCAACGGCATTTTCTGCTGTGATTGCCAAGAGGATTGCTGGTTATCCAAACCGCGAAATTTCCAGGACGATGGACTGGTCGAAGTGGTCCCAGAGCTTGTCCACCAAGATCATCGGATCTCTGGTGTTTGGACTTTTTCAGGTAGGGACGTATGAAAAGGCTAATCTACCGAGTGCCCCCATTGAAACCAATATGGATCAAATCGCCATTCTGCTTTTAGTTTGTTTTATGTGATCTATATTTCTAAAAAGTGAAACAATTTCACTTTGAAAATCGATAGACTTGAATTTGTTAAATATTTAGTATAAAAATGAGTATGACCATACTTTTATTGCAGTTGCTCATCTTGAATAATTAACCCCTTCTTTGAGAAATGCTTTTTTTATCTTTAAAAAAAAAAAGTCTTCAGCTGTCGTTTGATTCCGAACCTTAAGCAAAGCACTAAAAACTCAAAGCACAGATAAAAATACTGTGTTATAATATTATCATTATAACACGAGAATAAAATGCCTTTCCCCATCAGCAAATCTCTCTAGTCAGCAAATTCCGTTGTCTATTACTATAACCCCTTTACGTGACCCACCTTATATTGACTGGCCAGTTTTTGAGCTTTTTCCCCAGTTTGAGATATCCTACGTCTTATTTTCCGTCGTCATATTTACTAATAAACAGCTTCAGTATGATGCCCAAAAATATAAATCAGAGTGGCATTTTAAGCTGGAAAAAGAAACAACGAAGAAAGCCACGAAGGCCGCGAAGAAAAAAGTACGTAACCAAAGTTTTGGGTCACTAAATGAAATATTTTACTCTTAACATGAATCAGAAAAGAAAACTAATAACGTATAAATGAAAAATATATGTATTGATGACGCATAAATGTATGTAGTAATGACGTATAGATGTATGTACTAATTACAATGTATGAACTAATTACGGATAAACGTATGAACTAATAACGTATAAATGTATGAACTAATGACGGATAAATGTGTGAACTAATAACGTATAAATGTATGAACTAATGACGTATAAATGGGAAAAGTATGAACTAATGACATACAGTGGAACCTCGAGATACGAGTTTAATCCGTTCCAGCATTGAGCTCGTATAACGAATTTCTTGTATCTAGAAAGAAACTTCTCCATTGAAAATAATGGAAATCCAGTTAATCCGTTCCGCACATCCAAAAATCTCATTACCATCTCATCTTCAGTCGACGTACCTGTTGTTTTCGGAGAAGGTCCAAGTACAAATTCTTAGCATTTGCGCAAATGATAGCTTCCGACACCGAATCACCTTTTAACTGCTTCTCGTTAACCCACACCAACAACAGCTTATTAACATCTTCTGGGAGTTTTGGACCGTGCTTGGAAATAATGGTAACTTCTTTGACCACATCATGTTTCTTAATTTCTTCCTTTTCTTCGGAATAGTGCAGATCGTCGATGTCGAACGGCCGTTAAGTCTTTGCCAATTCCGCCACTCTTACACCCCGCCTTACATTTATCTATGATTTCTTTCTTAATTTCAACGGCCATGGCTTCCTTCTTTTTCTCTGAAGCATTATCTGAGGCAACAATCTTCTTGAGAGGCATCGTGAAATAATTATTTTCACGTTAAATGTAAAAAACAATTAACTCACAAGCGCACAAACAAGTAGATCAAAGAACAGTGAGTGATCTGACGAGACCTTTCCCCGAGTTCGAGCCGGATCGGGAAACGTGTCACGCATACCAACAGCCTGGCTGGTTGCTCGTTACTCGAGTCAATTCTCGTATTTAGAGACGAATTTTTCGCTCATACTCTCCTCGTATCTCGAATTTTTCGTATATAGAGGTTCTCGTATCTCGAGGTTCTACTGCATGTATCTAATGACATATAAATAAGAAATGTACAAATGGGGCTTTCTCGTATCGTTACAAAGATAGTACAGTATATATTATGTGTGATTCATATTTTTTAAAAAATTATCTCGTTATTTTAAATGAAATAGACTATCTATCTTAGTCGAGGGGGGAAACTTAGCTTAATTTTATTTCTGCAAAAGTTAAGAAAAAAAATATATTGTCGTTGAGTTTCCATCAAATAATTTCATATAGGTTCACTTCAGTGAAATATGAAATCGATTGCAAGTTTACACATGTATGTATAAAAGAAATTAAGCAAACAAAACAAAAAAGAAACAGTTTTTTACAGACAATTTAGTATTTCTCATTCATCTAATTCAGTTCACACTTCGCGACAAGGCAAAAATACATAAAAACTCAAAATATCTATATTAAAAATTACGAAGTAAATTTTAAACACTTATTTCCTCGAAAAAATTCCAGATAGGATTAAGCATGATTTAATTCGCAATAATAAATGAAGGCGTTATCTTTGTTGTTGCGAAGCTTAGTCTCTCTAGACGTTTCGTGCGCCCGATTGCAACTAAACTACGAGGTGCACATATACATATTATAGCAGTCCTATATACAAAATTTCAACGTTCTGAGGCTACTCGTTTTTAAGTTATGCGAGATACGTACGTACGTACAGACGCTACGAAAAATTCTTTTCAGAATTCTTTTTAAAGCAGCTTTATAATTTTTTTTTTGAGGAAAAGAGTCTTTTATTCTGTTCTTACGTACAGATGTCACGCAAAAACATTGTTAAATTGCATTCGAGAGCGGTCAAAAAGGATATTTTCGTTGAAATATGCTGCCTAAAACTTTTCGCGATTACAATACTTCCTTTTTACTTTGTACAAAGAAGTAAAAACATAAAAAAGGGGGGAAGAAAGGGTTTAAGCTCTTGGAAATATAGCAAAGCCCACACGGGTGTCTGCTTAAGAAGAGACAAGCTTTCGTGGAAGACTTTTTTAAGAGAAATTAGCTCGTATTCATGTTCCCCACGGAGAAATCTGCAAAAATCAACCATGCAGGCAGCTCGTTCGCCTGGGGTCGAGTCCATCTGGAATTTCCAGCATCAAGCGGTGTTAACCACTCTGCCACTGATGTAACTCAGGAAGAAAGAAATCCGATTTTAAAAGATTAATTATGGAATCTTGTAATACTGTCAGAAATACGTAGGTGTGTATAATATCGCAAAAATTCGAGAGGCTGAAACTAGCTCAGATATTACAATTTCAAGACTTGAACAAAATAAACAAAGGCATTGAACAAAGAAACAGAGAGAGGAAAAACCAAGCTAAATTCTGAATGAAATTCCTTTGACTGAATATGCAATAATTAATAATTTGCAACTTGCGTAATATATACTTACTTTCGGATGCTGCTACAGCAATGCAGATGACCAACAGAATAAATAGCTCAGTCTTCATATTCGTTGCTATTCCCTACTAAATATTAAAGTAATTAAGTATAAAATAGGCTAATTTAAGGAATGTGTGAGCTATTCCAAATATATGATAGATATTACAACAATCAAGTAGAATCAGAAATAATACATTTAAAATACAAGCTTGCAAGAAACCGCTTGTTTTGTTAAAAAAATATGCTATTACGTCACCCAAATAAAATAATAGCAACCAGTGCTTGCTATTATTTTATTATTAGCCCTAAGGAGCAATTTGCCCAGAACGGCTATTAATTTCGTTTTAGTATTTTACGTTGATTCACAATAAACGGCGAATAACATTTTAAATTGTTGTCACCAAATATTAGAGCCCTGTATTATATTCAAAATTAATTAAAAGAAATTAAATAATGAAGAATTTGCATAAATGCGTGCATATTTCTGCCACTGTAATAAAACAGCGGTACCTAGAGCCATCAAATTTTGAATAACGAACGTCTTCACCCGAATATGGGCATCTGGAAGCCCAAATTTGGAATTTGAAATTTCTTTTATTACCTGTTTCATATTTTGTAAAGCATTTATGAGTTTTTAAGTAAGAAACTCAGCGATTAAAAAAAAAAAAAAAAAAAAACTTCTTATCTCTAGCGCGCGGAACTGTGTATCGGAAATTCTAAAGATATTCTCATTTTAAAATTATTTTGCGACATTGCTGTTGCACTGAATTTTATGGTTTAAGTGCGAAAAACGTGATATTTAATAAATAAATGTAACACACAAAACGTTAAAAAAATACCACTCTGGGCGTAATATAAAATATGAAAACTTATAAGGTATTTCTCCCGCCTTCTTAGCGAGCCTTTGTGGTGTAGTGGTCTGCATGCTCAGCGCGTAATTGAGAGGTCTGCGGTTCGATTCCCGGCGAAGGCGTTGCATATTTTTCATCTTGCCTGCCCAAAAATACCTAATGTCTCTGCAGGGCCGTCCGAACTAAAAAGGGTGTTGGATGATGTTTCTCCTCACCCAGGATTTGGCGATTGCGTCCCCTAAAAAACCCCAGTCGCCATTCAAAAGGGGAAGTATATAAAGTATTTTTCTCGCCTTCTTAGCGAGCCATCGTGGTGTAGTGGTCTGCACGCTCAGCGCGTAATTGAGAGTCCGGCGGTTCGATTCCCGGCGAAGGTGTTGCATATTTTTCATCTTGTCTGCTTCCAAAATAAACCTAATGTCTCTACAAACTTTCAGATTTTTTGTTTCGTTCTTTTCTTTGCAAATAAATTCTTTATTAATATGTAAGAAATTTCTGCTTTTGCGATTCCTCAGAATGGCTAGTGTAACTGAGTGAAGAATATTTATTAAATTTTGCTTTCGCAATATAATTTTTGGTACAAAAATTTCCGCATAAATGCATTGCAGTTGAAGGTGATAACTTTAAAGTGAAGGTAATAAATATTAATCAATTAACTGAAATCTTGTAATTTATAAAACAATTCTGATAACTTTTAACGCAGTAATATGCAAATAAAAATAAACAGACTTTTGATATTAGAAATAAAACATATTGAGCTACTTTCTACATTTGCTTGATACATTGCCAATCCTTTCATCAGAATGCACGAAGAATTAAAAATATTTTAACCAGAGAATTAGTTAGCCCTCTGAGTTTACTGTTAATCTTAATTTTGCTAGCGAACAACCACGTTATGTATAGTTAGTTCTGATTAGTTAAAGATAGTGTAACATAATTTACATAAGACACATATAATGAAACTTAAAATTTACAGACAAAGCAGGATTGCAATCCATTCCGAACATTCGAAACCCCCCTTACAGCAGAGTTTATGAAATGCAACTGATGACGGAGGTCCTCAAACCCTGGACTTTTAGTTTTCCTGAAATAAAAATAGAGTGACTCACATTTGTTTTCGTAAGCTTGTATTTTCTGACCTTATTTGCAATTTTTAAATTTTAGCAAAGTCACATTATTATTTCTTACACGATTAATTAATATATTTGATTATCTTTTTTTTTAAACATACTTGTTTTGAAAAATACTTTTCAAAATGTTTTTTTTTGGGGGGGGGGGAAACTGTTTTGTTCACTTAGTGTAGTTTCGATTCGAAATAACTTTAATAAATTCAGCGGTTTATTCAAACTCAATTGTAAACATACAATAATAAAATATCCATATGTAAACATCTAGTAATAACAGAATAACAAAGTTAAGGTTTAAAATAAGCATTAGAATAGATATAGGTCAGCTACATTTTAGCGACCGAATTCTATCGACGACAAATCCAAAAGCGTGTTGCCAACGCAAGGCAACGTAAAAGTGTAAATTAATTGGAGAGGCATTGAAATAAACAAGTTTATTCAAAAAGTCCTAAAAATTTAAGTCAAATGAATTTTTGGATACTTTGAATAAACAATTTAATTTTAGTAAAGAAAATGATGGAGCAATCAGTAGTTTGTTTGATATTCTTTAACTAAAATTACACTTTTCGGTAAGAATTTAATTAATTTTTTTTGCTTGAAAATGTTTAATTTTTTCCATTCCTCCGCAATAATTACTTTTAGTAGAGATTTTGAAGAAATTTCATTGTTTCTTGTCCTTCTCTCCAGCTCACTCCATATATGTTGATAGAACTTATGTCCTAGTATAGAGAAATCTGAATAACTTCAGGACAGTCGCATATGTGGTGTAGTGGCCGAACCCGCTACCCAAAGCTACTACGTTAATGCAGGGTGGAAATGAATTCCCAACTCAAGTTTAACAACAACAGCACGAATTTTAATGAAAAAAATAGCTTTAAGCAGCTCAAAGCAATCTGGGACTCAAAGCAATCTGGTGCAGTTCAAAGCAATCTGGGACTTGAACATTACTCAGTCCTGCAGTCTCAGAAACTGTTACGACAGGAATGTAATAAGTCAACAGAACACTCGAAAAACATAGTTCCTTTGTGTAAATAACCACAGTCTCAGCAGGAAGGTTTAACCTAAGGCTCTCCTGAAACCTCCTTCACTTCTCGTTCCGGAGAGGGGTAGGATTCCTCCTCTAGTAGGCAACGAAAGACAACCACATTCCGAACGCGGTAAAAGATTTTTTATCCTCGGAACCATTGGGTGACCTTGGAGGGTGAAATCAGATAATTAGCAATGTGACCTTATCGCCGCTGTATTTCTCTTCTGATATGAACTAACTAAACTTTATACGCGCCTCGTCAACTTAATGACACTATGCGGCTGGTACTACCCAACTCAATCCCCCGATATTAGGCACGAGGCGGGCTACCCAGCGAAAAGCCACCTTGGAGATAGTAGTTGTACACTCCAACTGAGGTCCCAGTGCCCACATCACCAGGAACGACAGCTTCAAAAAGATCTCCACCTGCTAAGCAGGCCCACCGCTACACTGGTCAACCAAGACTGAATGCCTAGAGCTATGACTGGGTGTCAATGTTGCTACCCCATGGACCTCATAAGAGATAGACTAACCCAGTGGGCGGGGCGCGCGTCACCCACATATCCGCAAGATGGAGTAGGGACTATCTGGTTTACTTTAACACTGAAACCTATAGCGTTTGTATCACATAACTGTTTTTAATTATTAAATTTGATACGTTGTATAGTGATGAGATTATGAAAGTCACAGTTTTTTTCAAATAGGATTTAATATATCTCATTAAAGCACTTTTTTACTGCATTTCGCGCACTTTTTTCACGCGTAATTCTGTACAAACGTCTTAACTTTGGTAAAACGAGAAAAACTCTAAGTACAAAATTTATGAACTTAATTTTGCGTACAAATAAAGCAAAATTAAATAAGATTGATAGTGACGCTTTGAAATAAATAAGGTAAAATTAAACAAGATCTGATAATTTTTATAAAACATTTAATGGACATTTTCAGGCATTGGTTTTCAAAATTATAATAACATTACAAAACGATCATTTATTTGATTATATGATCAGTTAAATTAATAACATTACACATGGATTATTTATTTTAATAATTCATAAAATTCGGAGCATAAAATTTTCTGAGTGTAATGAAAGGGGAAAAAGATAAAATAAAATCTAGAAGCACTCAGATTTTATATTACACACAAAAGGCACCTTTGTTTTAACGTTTTGTGTGTTACCTATATTTGTTGAATATCATGTTCTTCGCACGTAAATCACATAAAATTCAATTCAACAGCAATATCACAAAATATTTCAGAACAGCATATCTTTAGGATTTCCGCGCTGAAGATAAAAATGCTATTTTCCGTACAGTGTTACCATTGCTCGCTTTGAACTCGTTGAATTTGTTAATAAAAAATTCATTAAAATTTTACAAAATATGAAATAGATTAAAACAAATTCGAAATTCGGCTGCCCAGATGCCCATGCTCGGGTGGAGGATTACGTTATTCAGAATTTGATGGCTCTAGATACCCTCGTTTTTGTCACAGTACGAGAAACATACATGCATTCATGCAAATTCTTCATTATTTAATTTCTTTAAATATAATACAGATAATATTTGGTAGCAACAATTTGCAAGGGGACATGGACATTTATAGTGAAACAGCGCAAAATGCCGCTTCGAAACTAACAGTCTTTCCAGGCTACCACCCCTTTGGGAGCAGGGTGGCAGGGAGCTTGCGGTATGTGATGCTCATAATCAGTATGTATGTGGATTTGTCCCCAGAGACTCATGGTGAGTCGTAGCCTGCTTACGTTAACCACTGCAGCCTCTCGTTCAACTCGTAACAAGTCCAGAGGCGGCGTGCCTGCGATAATTTGTAAGGTTGCCGTGGACATGGTACGATAAGCATTGAAAATGAGAAGAAGCTTGTGTCGCTGTATACAGAGTAGTGAACGTCTCATTTGGGAAGAGATGTTAGTTCCCCAAATAGCAGCGGCACACAAAATAATTCTTTCCACCACTGTCGTGTACCATATTCTAAGGAAGTGACATGGGATACCCTATCTTAACGAGGTTGTTGATCGCATGGAACTAGTCAGTCTGTTCATTCTTAACTTTAAAGAAGAGATGTGTGCTTGCCAG